TTGGCTAAGAGCCGTGTTGATATAACTCAATGTCAACAAAGAAGCGTCGGAAAATTTATTTCTTTATGTTTCTTTGTGCTATATTATAAAACAAACGTAAAACATCTTTCCGTATTAATATACAGTTATATCAACACTTGTGGAAATTGGGAAAACTCGAAATTGTGTGAAAACACTCCGCCCAAGGGCGTCGTGTTTCCACACAATTTCTCGTTTTCCCAATTTCCACTCGTGTTGATATAACTGTATATCAACGCGGAAAATGTTTTATATTTGTTAATTATAAAATGGTTCAATTACAGAATCTAAAATAAGGTTCCTTCAACAATTTAGTCATTTTGTATTGAACATAGCAGCTGTGCTTCGAAAGAAACTGTTCTTGAAACGTTCTGTTCCGCACTTGTACAATGACAAATTATTAGAATTCCTATATACATTATAGTGTTTATGAGCACAATCTCTTGCTTGGGTCATACTGTATGTTCCGTAAGAAGGCCCTTTAGCGATCTTCATGAAGGTTTTCATACAAATATCATTTCGTCTGTTGTTCAGTCTTGGCCAGCCAACTAACTGCAGCGCTTTATAATATGAATGACCAGGAAAGCTAATACGCATAGCTCGCTTTTGTACTTTTTCCAGTTCAAGGGACAAGTAGCAAGGTATTGCCGCATTATTCCACACCTCGCAACAGTATTTTATAATGAGCGTATCAGCGTATAATAAGTATTGTTGTTAAATAGCTAGGGTGAACACCAAACGTGATTGGCTGATTTGTGGTCACGTGACTTCAGATAAATTGCAATGTATCCCGCGAGGCAACAAGTGAAAAATTGTTGCCCGCCCCGCCGGCTACGTACATAAATAAACAAAATGGCGGCACAACTAGCGTAATTAAAAACTATGATTTTCCAAGTTTGTGTTGAAATAAAGAATTTAAAAGTCAGAGACGAAAAATACACTAAAAGTAGGGTCTTTTAATTTTAAATTCGTTTACACTATACTGTACAGGGTGTCTCAAAAAAAACCCAAAATCATTGAAATTGACGTATTGTTCGATATTCAATGCCCTAGCACTAAGTTAATCCCACGAGTGCATAAAAGATTGACATAACTGCTATAATGATGGTAATACTCAGCGTAAACTTGTTATGTCAGGCATAAAGTACTAAACCCACGAATGCATATTACGCATATTACAATTTACGAAGCATTTTTAAATTCCCATGAGCAAACAAACGTTCACTTTACAAAGATATTTTAATTTTTTAAAACAAATTAATCACCCTGTCAAAATCCTTTGTGTTACGGCATTGAAATTCGAACAATACGTTATTTCAATGATTTTGGGTTTTTTTGAGACACCCTGTACAGGGTGTATAAAAAAAACGCAACCTCGGAATTTCCCAAGAAATCGACATTGTTTTAAAGACAAAAGATTTTAGGCGCCTGGGAATTTAAAATAGCACAACTGTCAAAATTACTGCACACGCGAGTGCATAAAGCAAAATTTATGCATTTATTTAATGCACAACAACAGTAATATGATCTATTAGCAATTCGATTTCAATTCCCAGGGGCCTAAAATCTTTTATGCTTAAGAATTGCAAAGTGATTTCTTAGGAAATTCCGAGGTTGCGTTTTTTTATACACCCTGTAGACTTTTTGTCATGAAGTACAATTGTTGTATAAATGTTGTTGAATGTTGATTTTTGTTTCTCGCTATAAATTATAGGCTAACATTACAAAACACTTAATATCTTTTCCCTTGGGAAATAGTTTTGTTTTCCTTCGAATCTCAATGTTTTCATCGACTTCGTCTCGGGAAACATCGAGACTCTCGGGAAAACAAAACAAACTATTTCCCTTGGGAGCAGACATTAAGTGTATAATAAGCACGGGGGAAGACTCCACCATGGCGCAGAACCCGGAGTACAGTATATGCCTTGATGCTTGTGATGTTACTCTGAGTGTATATCCACACCGGGCAAGCTTGAAATATTTTTCAAGCTTGCCAGGTGTGGATATACACTCATAGTAACATCACAAGCATCATATTCACCTGAGTAGATTACACCAACACAGAAAAGTTTGGATGCCTTGCCGCGACTATTGAAAAAAATATGCTCGTCCCATAAGTTGTTTTGAATACTCTAATTAGTTAATCATAACACTTTATGAGATCGCACTGTTTCCACTACATGTCCATCGATTGTTAAAGCCAGTTTTCCACTTCAACCATACCGTAACGAAACGTACTGTTGAGCATGCGCAGATTGAAAAGAGGTTAATAAATCCACGTAGTTCCGGGTGTATTCGCATATCAAAATAAAAAGTTCGTCGCAAGTCAACTTTTTGGGGGTATAACGGAAGTATTAACCAATCAACATTCCATCAATTTTGAAATATAAAAATGTTTTTGATACGCTTCGGTACGGTACACTTTAAGCGGAAAACTGGCTTAAGAGTACAAGCTGAGTGGTTTCTTTGAGATACTGTAATAGACTCGGAGTTCTTTACACTTTTTAGCATTCAGCTTCATCCAGTTGTTGGAAGCTCATAAATGAATAGAATTAAGGGTCGATTGAGTAATAGAAGTAGCATTCCAGGTCAGTAAGGTGTTCAGAAGTCGAGACATCGTCCACAAATTTTCACATGCTACTATCAGGTGAATTTACTCTCAAGTCATTAACCAAAACCAATAATAAAATCAGTTCGAGTTTAGTCCACTGAGCTCTACTATATATATCTGGAGACCGTGCTCGCAAATGAAAAGTGTCCGCAAAAACATGGCGGATTTCGAGCTCCACGTCCACTATTCTCATGGTATGTTAACTGACCACAGCTCAAATGCGTGCGGGCGACATTTCCCACTCCCCCCTGACCAGAGAGCCACTGATCTTTATAATTTTTAAAAAAGGAGTACATTGGAGAAGATTTGAAATTAGTAAATATTAGTTACATATAGGTGTAAAAGGTTTCTTCTGAACTTTACCAACTACTATCATGTTCAAGCTGGAGCTTTAATTCATTCGAGCTACTATCTCCACAATTTCTGCTGTGAAATGTATAAATGATGATCCAAACAGATAATATAAATGAGCTGAACGAATGGTGGTATTTTTGCCCATGTCGCATGTATGCTTTTGCAGTATCGGTAGGTGCAGACCTACAGTATTTTGTGTGGGGCCGTAGAAAATGAGTAATAATTAAATTACTAAATTAACGAGAAATTGAAATAATTGTCATGATGGGAAACAAACTTTTGAAATTTCGAGGACTATGGTGATTCTGTTTCCATATGTTAATAAATAAACAACAAAAGCTGAAAAGCACTACAGGTGAGGCATTTTTCAAAATTTTAATGAAACACTTGTACTGTACCATTACATTCATTTATTGAAATATACTATAATTTATTACTATTATATAATATTTCAACTCGATTACTACTTGTATATAATGCACATATCAATGGCCTGCCCTGGGGGTACACCCCCGGGACTTTGCAAAAACATGATTCTAATGCATTAATTCCCCCTCCCCTAGAGTTCTGATTTCTATGATCACAAATAGCAAAAAAGACGACTCTGAAAATGCTATTTCCATCGATCTAGATACTCAAAATTTTCAAAATTTCCCTGCTCAGGGGTGGGCATCTACAAAAAGGGACCATACTATATTGAGTGTGGAGAGATGACAGATGGTTGTTGGTGACAAAAAGCTTGGTGTGGTATCGTATGTACTAGTAGGGGGGCCGGGGATTCTCCCCCAGAAAATATTTTGTATTTTTCCACCCCTAGAACTGAAATGTGAGCATTTTCTGAAACAGATTTTTGGATATACAGTGTTACATTGTGCATTGGTAGACCGAATCTGATCAGTTAAGTGTATTTGCATGGTATGTTTATGTAAATACCACAACTGGGTCACTCAGGGGGTAGCAAGCTTGTTAAACTTAGTGGGCCGAACTCCCATGATTGTGAGGCACTACCATGGTTGGTGCCCAGACAAGTTCTTATAAAAATCCTGTGTTCAAATCATTTTGCTGTATGAAGACGGGTCATGGGTTAGGGTTATGGTAGGACAAATGTTGCATTGCAAAGTAGTAACACATAATATATATTTTTAATCACATATGGTCGAATCATTTTCACCAGGGTAAAACATCATGAGCTACATTAAACAGATTGTCCTAATATCTAACTTTGCATGCAATGCACACCTGTTTCATTGCTATTAATTTTTCAATCCACACTGGGGGGTGGGGGTCAGAAAAGTTTCTACTTTTATGAGGGGGGAGGCACAAAAAGTTTGCCTTCAGTTCTGGAGTGGGGGGGGGGTCAAAAAAGTTTTCAATCCTTATTTTTCCCATTTCCCAACACCCCCCTCCCCATAAATAATGACCACTCCCTAATTTCCCCGGGGTTCACAGGCAGAACACACAGATAAAATACCAAATTCCCCCTCGTTTCCCCCCAGTTGTCCCGGGGTATACCCCCCGGGCAGGCCGTTGCTATGTGCATAATTCTCTTTCAAATTGTATAAAAAGTATGTTGTTCCTCTTGCATTTCTACTATACATATAATTTTAATGTATAAATTTGTAAACACAGCCATGTTTTGTTGAAACAAAACTTATGTCGGTTTATGCATATATCATCTAAATATTTACTGCTGTTTGTATTTTTCAGATTATGGAAACTGCACATTGGTGATCATGTCTACTCACAATGTACTCTGTGCACATTATGGGGAAAGTAAATCTGCACTAATAAATACCCAAATGTATATGGCTCTACGTTTGTCACTGGAATCATTGTTATATTCGATGGCAATTCATGGCAATAGAATCATATTGTTTGACCAGGCAAAGGATTAGTTAATTATGGATCTAGCACACCAAACAATAATTATATATTATTTTATTAAACATATTCTTATGTGCATTATTAATTTTAATTACAAATTACATTTATTCAACATTTAAAAAGTTTAATTTAACATATATACAATATTATTATATTACTATTACAGGCCATCAATAAGTATTCTTGGTCTCATACCCATGTTTTATTTTGTTAATTCCATAAGGGTATTTTCGGGTTGTCCCAAATTATACAAGTGAAACACGCACATAGCTATCGCTTTTAATAAAAGAGATATTTGATGTCATATTTACTTCAATATATTTTATTGAAGCTATGCCTGGCTATAATTAGCTGATATTTCCAGTGGTGGCACCAGCAGTGGGGACATCCCCCCCCCAAAAAAAATTTTTCAAACCAAGAATATTTATTAATGGCCTAACAAATAAATTAAAATTAACAAACAACACTCACACAACATTCACACATTATAACATACACAAAGTTACTTAATGAATTTAATATCATGGCAATTGTGCCAATTATGTTGTTCTTGAACAACTGTCTGAGTGGGTTTTTGCTCTATTTGGGCACACAATTTTTGTATGCCCTCTTTTAAAACATATCCAGCATACCATTCCTAGTAAATGTAACAAAAAAATTTAATATAAAGAGGCCACAAAAAATTTTTGACCAGTGAAGGGGGGGGGGAGAAAATATTTTGAACATAAAGGGGGGGGCAAAAAATAAAATCTTTGGAATAGTTTGTAACATGCAATATCAAAAGAGTGATGGATATACACAGTATACATACATTGAACAGTAATGCCCAATATATTGAACCTAAAAGTTGTGTTCTAGGCACTGTATATGGAAATTGTCATCCTCATCATCACCAAAGAATTTGTCTAAAGGGTCATGCACTGCATTTGCAAATGCAAGATTCAATTGACAGTTGTTGTCCTGCTTTTAACACAGTGGACCTCTTTCGTATGTTCTGTTTCTGCATGTTGTTGACAGTCAGTCTCTTCTGCCATCTCTTCAATAATAATACAGTAATGCTCCCACCAGACACAAAAATATTTTTTTCAATTAGTAAAAGTAGGTCTGATGTGTGGGTTTTTTGTTTGAGGATCAAAAACTTTTCAGGTATAAAGTCTGAATTATCTACTTGGCTATCATTTTCAATATTTACAATATTCTTTATTTTCAATATTTACAATATTCTTTACATCTGCAAG